ATATATATATATATATATCAAGAATTAAAGGTTTACATGTTTGTTTATTTGGTTAACTAGTCATTTTTATTCAGTTATGTTATTTCAGTTGTGTCATACACCTTTACCATAATGTTCTACATCAGGTGACTTGAGCCGGCTAACAATTAACTTGACCATCATCTCTTCTGGAACAGCTTTTCCTTCAGCCAGAATCTTAAAGAGCTATAGCAGAATATCTTATATGAAACAGCTAGAATATTTTGCAGGGAATCAGTTATTTCTATTGTGACCATGTAAATAACTAAACATCAGTGATACACACCTGTATACCTTGTTCTGTCTCATCACTGATGTGGCTGTTGAGAAGATCTGTATCTAAATAGGGTGAAAATGAAATATTCAGAAACTCCATATGTAATAATGGCAATGTGACATCAAAGGCACTTGATCATTTACCATCAATGAGGATGCAATTCCAAGTCTTGGCTAATTTTCTGGCAAGAGTAGATTTCCCAACACCCTGAAAAAACAAAAAATCACACAAAACATAAAAAAAAAAAAACTATTTATTTGTTTTGACTGAAGGATATTGAGGTGAATTCAGGTTGATTGGGGCACATTTTGCCATTGAAATGCCCGGGGAAAGGTGTCCCAATCAACCTGAATTCAGCCCTACTTTTATGTTTGAGAGAAAAAAAAAGATGTATGTTGACAACTCACTGGTTTTCCAAGGATGATAAAACATGTAGGTTTGGAGAGCAGAATCTCTCTCTCTGCTTCATCCTCGATAAGCTTATCCACTAATGATAAGTTAGACGCTTTATGGACAGTGGATGACATTGTATGATACTGTAAAGCAAAAATACAGAGATGTTAATCTATTTCAATTAATCAAGAAGTCAAACTTTAAAGTTCAATATCAGATCATCGTTAATTATCAACTGACATTAAGAAGATTTTATAAGAACTAATGTTTTGAGTATCGCGCGCAATATCAAGTGAACTATTTTTTATTTTCCGTTCTTCTGTAATCATATATACTTCGATGCGTCAATTAAACATAATACTCTCTTAGCTCATTGATTTTACTCACTTTAATAGTGACTGCAGCAACAGACTGTAGCCTCCATCTCTATCCGCTCTTCATTTGTTGAACGGTGTCATGGCAACCTGCCCACAACACAACTGACAGGATAGAGAGAAAGCAAGGTTTGACGAGCTTTTTATTTTGTTGACGTGGGCCAGCATAAGCTGTAAAATGTGTCCCAGAATTATATGATCCCCTATATTAAAATATTTTTAACAAGACATTGTCCAGAAGCGTTTTCATATCTGCTTAAAAATGAACTCATTCAATAAATCCACCAGAGGTCAGTGTTAAGCGTTCCCAACTGGCAATTTATTTATTTATTTAAAAACTACACACACGCGCTGGATTTTAACTCTACGTCACATAGGGACACAAAGTAAAATATTTTTTTATAATTATTATTATCATTATTCATTCTTTGAGTTGGATATGTCTCAATATGCCACAAACTATTAACTACCCCAATAAAATACTTGTGCAGATCATTGTAGGAGCAGTAAAAAATAATTTAGCTGTTTTTAAGGTCATTTAATGCTGGATTATGGCAGTTCTCTCTAGTTTAGTCCATAGAAATTAATTAAACAAGCTAAACCCTGGGGACACTTTTCTGAGACATAACAAACTGCTTCCTCATTCCTAACATAAAACTGTGCAAGAGGTGGGCGTTGTCTGACGACTATCTACTCAGTCATATTCAGCATATTTAGGTTACCTGCATGACAAAAAAAAGGAATGTTAAATCTCTGTCCCTGAGTGTCTTCAATCTGTGCTGTGTGTTTTTTTTATCAGTATAATCAAAAGCTGATAAGAGAGGTCATGTGTCTAGTCTATGATCTTTTGCAGAGTCAGACGGTCTCATAAATTACAACCCGTGTCAGCTGTTTTCCATTGACACAACACTATTTAATGTCTGTGTCCAGTCCTCATAGAGAGCATCAGGTAATACAGAGTAACAAGTTAATGAAATATTAGCCAACACGTCAATGTGGGCCCCACATGGGTTTTGATGTCATACACAAAAATGGACAAAACACTGAAGATTTTAAGAAAAATTTATTCATTTATGCTGCATATGTGTGTGTGTGTGCACTCAAGGTGCAAAGGTGTCATGGGCTGGGACATGCTGTTTTTATATTATATTGTTATATAATATGCCTCTAAAAACGAAATAGGGCAAATGTTATGTTGCCCCTTAATAGTTAACACAGAGAATTTTTTTTTACATCAAAATTATTACAATAGCCTGCTATTAATCTATTAGTCACGGTGCTCACTGCAGAGATGTTTGTCATAATTGTAATCATCAAAACACAGAATTCCAGTGCTGAATTACACCACAGTACATTTACGAAACGCACATGAAAGAAGTCGTCTGTAATAAGCTTTTTCGTGCCATCATAAATACATGTATTTTTTTTTTTTAGAATAAATACCAGAATATCGTGCATAATAGAAAATTATGTTTATGAAAGGTTTCTTGTATTTTGTGTTTGTTTATGTTGTAATATTAATGTTAATATAATGTATTCTATTATATTAAGACCACCCAGCAAAATAATGAAAATAGCGGAAAGCTCTTCCTACACATATAAGTTGTACAACC